ATGAGTCAGAAACGACTCGACGGCACTTAACAACAAAACAACAAGGCAAGTTGTGTTAGACTGGGTTCTCTAGAGAAACAAAACCAGTAAAGCTTATATAGAGAGAGAAAGAGAAATTTATCTTAGGAAAATGGCTCACACACTTGTAGAAGCTGGTAAGTCCAAAGTTCTTGAATCAAATGTCAAGCTGGAGGCTTTTCTCAACTCTTGCAGCTTCAGGGGCTGAGGAGCTCAAGGTTGGCAGGCAGGATACGGGCTGTTGACTCCAATGAATGATGAATCCAAGATCTCCAGGCCAAATGGTGGATTGTTCGCTCACAGACAGTTGTAGGCATCACAACAAAATCTTGATCCACTGAAGAGTGTCTCTTTTCCCAGGATGTCCATAAATATACTGTAGCAGACCACACCCCTAGGGAAACTCAACGGATTGGCTGCTCAAAACACATTCATCTGATCCCATCATGGGAATAACCACATCACAACTGCTTAAACCACACAGAATTGTGGTCCAGCCACACACAGCTGGACACACAGCTCCAACTATCACACAAGTCAAGGGTATACCTGACCTGGATGTAGCTGAGTGTGATGTCCAGCAAATGATGGGATGCTGACGCCCCCTCTCCCCCATTACTGTTTCAAGTCACCTCACTGACATTGGCTATAGGCTGTCAACACAGAAGGCATCATCCACACCTGCCTTCAAGCCAGGAGGGCTACACTTTCCTCCTTTAACTATATGACTTCTGTCTTCTCTCCTTATATTTGTAACTAATCTTTCTCCAAAATATTTCACCCCCAGTTTTATCATATATATTCACATTGCTGACATAGTACATACATCTCTCATTCTTTCCAGTTAATCTGTATCTTTTGATGCAGATAAACACTTTTATTCGTAGCAGTCACAGGCCCATTTTACTAAGCCTTAGAAATACCCTTGGAAGGAAGATTGGGCAATCTACTTCCATAGTGATACCACCTCGGAAACTCAAGGAGGGGTCGCCATCTGTCGGATCTGACTCCACAGCAATGTTTTTTTGTTTTGTTTTAGAAATACCCCAACAGAAATACATTATACTTACGTTACCCTGTTCAATTTCATACGTATTTTTTCCTATTCCCTGTGCATTGACTTATATGTAAACATTTTTAATCACAAGACTCTTTCCAAACGATTTCTTTTATTTGTTCCTTTTGGCTGAGAACTATCTGTTATTTCCTGTGTCATATTTCTTCTCCCTACCACCCTTGTTGACTTTTCTAGTACTGGGCTTTGTATTTTTGTCTGATCTTTTTTCTTTCCCTCTCTCCCCCTTCTCTCCTTTTAGCTCTTAATTAAGTTAATGAGTCACCACTACCCTAGTCCCTGTGACCTCTTCCTGGAGCAGAAGCCCATTGTTCTGGTATTTGATGACACATTCACTGCAAATATTTCTTGGAGGGTGGGACTGGATGAAATTGCAAACATAGATTTGTTTTTTTCCACATGGGGAAACTGCTCATGCTCCTAATAAAGGGAAATGTGATGAACTTTTCAGAATTTCTTTGTTTGGAATTACATTTTACTTGAATGAAAACAAACAAATAAATAAATAAATAAAAATCCGGCAAAGCACTTAAAGCTCTAAAATTCATATGCAAAGACTTCTATAAATAGCGGACATATCATTGTTTTCAGCACAATTTATTATCAGGCCATAGTATTTGGGTATATTAATAGGTATTGATTTAACAACTTTATGACCTCTCTTGAGACAAAGCAACCAAAAAGAAAACTTCAAAATATGCAAGAGCAATAAATATCAAACTTTCTGATCTAAAATGTATAAATATAAAATATCAGTCACTTCTGGAAACATCTTAAGAAAATCCAGCAACCAAATGTCCACAGGTAGGTGTCTGGAGCTGATGGTGTGAATCTTCAGAACATATCACCTGAGATCCAGCACAATTATTTTTGCATCTTTTACCAACACATGTTTGCATATCTAGGAAAGAAAAAAACTGGTTTTACATCATAATGCTTACCTTATGATTCTGTTTAGGGAGAGGATAGCTTTCCTAATTTAAAAAAGTATTTCTCCAGTCAGAAAAATAAAATGAGGTTTGTTCATTTTCAACAATAAAAATATTTACAGAGGTTGCAAAGTGCTGCTCATTTTAAATGAATTTTAACTTCAAAATAATGTGTCTGTGATGTTACATCCACAGAACTGCCAAGAAAAGGTGTTATTTTTTTCCCCAAAAAAGGTAGTTGAATGATGTTTGTGTTGAGCTAAATAGAGCAAATCAAGAAGTATAGTCAGTTTTCATTGAATTGATTAGAAAAAAAATAAAATTGGTCATATCACAGAGAAGTAATTTATAAGACATTTTATACCATTTTCTTCAATAATTGTTTGCCCTACTCAGACTGACAAAAACTTTAGTTAAATGTCACACAGATACACAAATGGAAAGGGAACTTTGTGTATAATCAACTCAAATACTTGCATTTTCTTGCAAATAAAATAAAGTCTACAGAGTTACTATGAGTTGGCATCAACTCGAGGGCACACAACAACAACAACAAGAGCTTGCAGTCTCTTGACTGTGAGGAGCTACAAACACTAAGCGAATAAGTGCAACACATCCTGCAGGTACAATGTTCCATATTAGGAAACAATTAGAAATGTATTAGGGGCAATGAGGCAGAAAGATCGAAAAAAAAAAAGTAAGAAATTATAAATTGAGAAAGCATAAAGATTTATTAATTTTCAGAGAGAAGAAAATTCCAGACTAAGCAGTACAGTGTTTTATCCTGTGTTCTATTGCTACTATTTCTCTCCTTTAAAAAATAAAGGGGGTGGGGGTTTGAAAAATAATTATCTGCAGAAAGTAACCAATGTTGTCTACTCACACTGAACAGCCTGGGGTCCTTGGTGTGTGGATGAAAGCCCTTTTTTTTACACGCAGAAACCTCAAGCATGCCGGCATTGGTGAGCCTGAAGATACCAGTGCTAAAGCCCAGGACGAGAAACAGGCAACGTTAACAGTCACTTAGGGTTTCTGGATCCTTTATTTGAATGGCACAAATGTACACACTCTTCAAATGGGCTGGAGAAAGACACCACAGAGTAGGAATTCCACAGTGTTGTTTCACTCCTCTTGTGATGACTGGCCAAAGAACTCTGATGGTTCAGTGCTTAAGTTCTCAGCTACTAACTCAAAGGTTTGCAGTGTGAACCCCCCAGCCACTCCATGGGACAGAGATGTGACAGCCTGCTTCCGTAAAGATTACAGCCTTGGAGAGGCTAGCTCTAGGGCAGTTCTAGTCTGTTTTTTTAGGGTTGCTATGAGTTGGAATTGGCTCAACCACAATAGGTATGTTTAGCTCTGTGGTGTAGTGCCTAAGGCATCTGACTGCTAACCAGAAGGCTGGCGGTTCAAACCCACCAGCCACTCCTCAGAAGGAAGGTTGGGCAATCTACTTCCATAGTGACACTGCCTCGGAAACCCAAGGAAGGGTCGCTATGATTTGGATCCAACTCTACGGCAGTGCATTTGGTTTTTGGTTTGGCCAAAGGAGAGAACCCCAGGGACAACACTATCTCCAAGCACCTGCAGGCCTGGAAGGAGGAAGAGGCAGCAGCTGTTGTGTGAGCCTGCAGAGGAAAGGACAAGCCCCAAGGGAGGAGATTACAGGTGGCAGATACTTCCTCACTATCATATTTATAACAGCAAACCTTATTGAGTGCTTTCTACGCCAACAGGCAGTATGCTCAGCACTTTATATACACTGGGGAGTCCCTAGCTGGTGCAAAGCATTAAGCACTCAACTACTAACAGAAAGGTTGGTGGTTCAAATCCACCAAGAGGCACCTTGGAAGAAAGGCCTGGTGATCTGTTTCCAAAAGGTCACAGTCTTGAAACCTGAGTGCAGTCTACTCTGTAACATATGGGATTAACATGAATCAAAATCCATTTGATAACAAATGGTCTGCTTTTTTCATTACATGGACTATCATCTGAATTTTTTTTTTAAACGTTTTATTGTGATTTGGGTGAAATTTTACAAAGCGGATTTGTTTTACACTCAACAGTTCTTACACATTTTGCTTTGTGACACTTGTTACATTCCCCACAGCGTAACATCTCACCTCCCACTTCCTCCCTGTGGTTACCCTTTCCCTGTGTTCTTCATGCCTTTGCATTTGTGCCTCTCCATGTTTCTTCCTGTGTAAAAACTGCCTTTCTGATCTCTCATGGTTGATTGCTCTGAAGAGTGCATCTCCCTGGTACAAGTGTTCGGCTCCTAGGCCTGTCTACTGCTTGGCTGAGAGTTAAGCCATGGGAGTGAGATCAATTCCAGGTCCCAAGGGTGACTTAGGGCCCTAGTCTTGGGGGTTTCAACAGTCTCCATCAGACCTGTAAGCCTGGTCTTAGATTGTCATCTAATTTTATCCTCATAGATATGGAAAAGTAGTAGAGTTGAAGGTGCTGAGGCTCACAGTGGTCAGGCATTCTGCCAGTGAATATATGGCTTGTAAGTGAAGCCAGGAATTCCAATATAGTTTGACTCTTATGCTCATCACCCTAATAATCCCTAGTAGTCACTGTTTCCCAAAACTAAGAAAGGTTTTAGAAGTAATTAAGCCGAGGCTGGAAAATTTCTTATAATAGGAAATAATACATAGAATGAAGATCTCAAAAGGCAAGCTGGAATAACATCCTTCCTAAATTTTATCCACATCAAAGTCATGCTAACTGAAGAAAAGGAAACAGTAATTCTACAATTCAACCAAAACTCACTACCATTGAGTTGATTCTGACTCACAGTGTCCCTTGAGGACAGAGTAGAACTGCCCCATTGGGTTTCCAAGGCTGTAAATCTTTACAGAAGCAGACTGCCTCATATTTCTCCCATGCAGTGGCTGGTGGGTTTGAACTGCTGACCTTTGGGTTAGCAGCCAAATGCTTTAGCCACTGTGTCACCAGAATTTCTCCTACCACTGAAAGGACCTTGGGAAACAAAAGACTGCACACCTGTAGGTACATGGAACTCAGCTGTCACCAATCTCTTTGCCAAAGGGCATCGTGAGCCTGCCCATCCAAGTGCCATGACTTGGTATGTGGAGCCACCCAAACCCAGCAGCCCCAGACAAAGCTTCTCTTGGGCTCCCTTCAATAGTTCCACTTACTCCTTATGCTTTGGTGAACAAACAATGGCAATAGCCTCTGGCAACATGAGCTGATAGGAACAGTGAGTGTGAAGATCAACGCTGGATAGGAACGCAGTTTGGGTGGGATGTGTCTATGAAAAGAAAAGAAGACAGTCTCATCAGGGTAGCTGAGTCTTATCCAAAGCCACAGCCCATTTTAAGAGAACAATGTATTTGCTTTTTTTTTTTTAAACTATCTTTTATCAAATAATAAACATTAAAAATGCTTTGTTAACATAATCCATCCTTTCCTGCATTCCTGTTGTTTGTTTCTCTGGAATAAATATGACTTTGAGAAGATGCTCCTGGGAATTTTAGGAAAAATGTACTCTCTTATTGGAAAAGAAAGATGGAAATTCATTTGCCAGAGGCTTTTTAAAGATTCTCATTTCATCATGCCACCTTATTTAAGAGATATGTATAGAATTATCTCAATTGCACAAAAGATCCTGAGGCTCAGGGAATTTAAGTAACTTGCCCATGGTCACACAGCTGGTCAGCAGCAGAGCTGTGATAGGAAGTTTTTTGGTTTTTTGGTGCCACATTTTACTGTGAATCCCTTTGTGGATCATCATTCCCTCTAAATGAGGGAATAGAAATCTTCAAGTTGTTGAAGGCACTTAGGACCTATCTTGCAAAGCAACAAATACCCAGATGATGAGGACGAAGATGAAATTATAAATAAAAGTATCTTCCAGGCTTGGGGCCACATACTAACTAGTGTTTATGAGAGGCAAATCAGAGGTTCATATTTGAATATGAGAAATGCATATATACATAATGATTTAAAATTCACATTAGACCCTAACTAAGGTTGAAATCGGAATGCGACTATTTTAATCATGTAACAAAGGTCCTGGAGACTCAGTGTCTCAGCATGAATCCTGGCTCCATCACTCACTAGCTGTGTGATATTATGAAGTTACTTAAACTCCTTGTGTCTGTTTCATTATTTGGAAAATGTAGATAATAAAGTAATATTATTAATTAATAGTAATAATAATTTTCTTCACAGGATTTTATGAAGATTAAATGAGATAATCTTTGTAAAAGTTTTAAAACTGTGCCTAGAACTTTATAGAAAGGAGTCAAAATAGTTAGCTGTTATTGTTTCATGGCTGGTGGTGTTATTTTAATGTTGTCATTATCAGCATGGGCACAGACCTATGCTGTTGTTGTTGTTAGTTACCATGGAGTCAACTCGGAGTCATGGTGACCCTATGTATAAGAGAATGAAATGGTGCCCAGGTCTGTGACATTTTCATGATCATTAGTGTTTGAGTCTATTGTTCCAGCTATTTCAATCCATCTCATTGAGGGTTTCCCATAGAGATCATGAAATGCTTTTCACAGAATGATAGTGTGTGGAAAAAAATGCAAAATTTTAAGACTCTTATTTTGGGAGCTCTGGTAGCATAGTGGCTAAGGCACTTGACTGCTAACCAGAAGGCTGGAGGTTCAAACCCACCAGCCACTCCTCGGAAGGAAAGGTTGGGCAATCCTACTTCCGTAGTGATACTGCCTCGGAAACCCAAGGAGGGGTCGCTATGAGTCAGGGCTGACTCAATGACACATAACAACAACAACATAATTTAGTTTATAGAGGAAGGTAAATTCAGCTGATTTCCACTTACAGAAAGATATGTGTTCCACAAGGAGAAAGAGGCTTGATTTATATAAAGACGGATCAACTGAGGAGTGTCAATTATTCTAATTTTTAAAACACAGATTTTTTAGTGAGGGCACGAATCGGGGCACCTGACTGCCTGTTGTCCCGTTCACACGTAGAAGTTTCCATGTCTTGGTGAGACAGTCGAGAGTACTCAATGGGACTATAGTGCTGTGGATAACAGCAAGTAACCTGACTACTCAAAGACAAGGCACATTCATTCTAGAATGAATGCAAATTACATGACATTCTGAGCCCTTCATTTCCACCAGGAGCAATTGTTTCTGTCCCATGAGAGAATAACTCTTCCATGGGAAATGGTGGTCCCACTCCCTCACTTTATTGAAATGAAAATGAGATGAAGATGAAGAAGAAGAAGAAGATGATGATGATAACAATACCCAAGACCCACTGCCATAGAGTCAACTCCAACTCATAATGACCCTATAATAGGACAGAGTAGAAATGTCACATAGGGTTTTCAAGGCAGTAAATCTTTGACAGAAGCAGATTGCCCCATCTTTCTCTCAGAGTGGCTTGTGGATTTGAACTACTGACCTTCTGGTTAGCAGTTGTATATTTTAACCACTGCACCACCAGAGGTCCTTGATAACAATAGCAGCAGATGCCATTTATTGCAACTGAATAATCAGCCAGGCATTTTCCATAAATTATTTTATTTAACTCTCACAAAACTCCATGGGGTGAGTACTAGTATTACCCTCATTTTACAGTTGAGGAAATAGAGCTAAGGTGGAAAGTCAGACACTTACTGAAAGTTATGTAGCTAGTTAAGTCGAGAAGTCTAAATTCAAGCTCAGGTCTGTCTGATTCCAAGCTGTTTTTTCTATGACCAATTTATATCTGGAAAAAGTTAGCTCTGAAGTTCGTTACTATTATTATGCCCAATAAAAACCATTATAAAAGTCTTTACAATCATTGAGGCCTAGAAATGTAGTGTTTAGTATTTTCACTGCATCACAATGATTTGATGTGGTGAAATAAATTATACAAAAAGCAAGATCCTGGAATTCTAAAACTATGCCAAATTCATTTAAATAACTTCATTTCATTATTATATACATTATACTGCACAGATGGTCATGAGGGAACACTTTTGGTTCTAATTTGGGGAAATGTTTTTGTAAGATAAACTAACATTGACTTTTGAACATGAATTTGTAATTTTGACGATAATTCTCAATTTATGTTACAATTTATTTGCTATAATTTGTTTTACTTTAAAATGCATTCTTGTTATAAAAACCACATTAGACTAAATAATGCCTTTAAAGTTCAGCAATTTCTAAGCAATCAGTAAAGCATATTAGCAAATAGATAGACATAGATAGGAAAGATTTGCAAGCTCTTTGGTTATATATAATTCATTTCTTGCATTTGAGAAATGATTTATAATTTTCAAGGGGCTTTCATGTCTGGTATCATGTTTATCACCCACACAAATCATGAGAGAGACGGGAGGCACCCATTAGCCCCACTTGGTCAATGAGGGGACTGGAGACTAGGAGGTTAGTGGTCTTGACTAAGGGCACACAGTAATTCACAGGTGAAGGTGGGTCGAAAATCTCTACCCTCTTAAATTACATAATACCAAATTCTTGGAGACTGTGTGTGTGTGCATGCATGTGTGTAATGATCGCTTATTTCCCTCCAGGGGATCTCAGAGGTTCCCAGGATGGGACCTGGAAATCTTGGCCAGCATCCTATGAGAGTGTGATGACTTGTCCTTATCCCAAGCCAAGATGGGCAAGACAAAATGGAAAAATGTGCACCAGATGGATTAAACCATTTTAGAAAAAGTAGAATATCATCACCACCAACAACAGCTACAATTTTCTGAGTATGTGCTAAGATATTTGCTTACGTCATCTCATTTAACTCTCACCATCACATGAAATCAATTATTATGATCTCCATTTTATGGATGATAAAGCTTATGCTCAGATTGCTTTAAAAACTTGCCAAAGTTGTTATAGTGAATTTTTAGCAGAGCAGAGATTTGAACTCCTGTTTATTTGAGCCATAAACACTTTTGTGTTCCTGTGCTAGCTTGGTGGACGCTGGAACCCAGTGTCTTTGACCCAATCTCATTGGCCTTTTTGTGTGGCTGTTACAGAGTAATGCATATTCCCCGGGCCTATGTAGGAGGCAGAGTGGATTGCATAGTCCCTATTTGATATATAAACTTACTGCTGTTGAGTTGGGTCCAACTCATAGAGACCCCTCCTTGGGTTTCCAAGGCAGTATCACTATGGAAGTAGATTGCCCAACCTTCCTTCTGAGGAGTGGGTTTGAACTACCCGCCTTCTGGTTAGCAGTCAAATGCCTTAGGCACTACCACCATATATTTAAAAAATATTTTAAAGTGTTTTCTTAAAATATCTAATTTAGACCCACAACAAAGGAAAAGAGAATATTAATAATTGTCTAGTCAAACTGGCTAAGAAATTTAAAATAATTGGATTTTCTAAATCAAAACAAGCTGTTTTCCTAATGTTTCTCTCTTTCTCTTTTTTAGATGGTACAAAAAGTATATGAAGCATATGATACTCCTCTCCAAATTCAGAATTGACTGGCTTACACTTGGCCTAATATTAACAAAAATGTTTTAATGTGATGGCATTTATTATAGGTGAGAATATTAAAAACAAGAAACTATTTCAAGTAAACTAAATTTCTCCATGGAGGAAAACAGCACATCACACTCAAAAATAAAATTAAATGAAGTGAAAACGGAAAGGTCAAACATACGTGGATCCATCCTAGTGTGAGGAGATCGTGTTGATCCTGAACATTGAATAACTCTTCTACATTTTCCATGTCACAGTAGTCTGGTCCTGCAGACTGCTTTGGCACTATTACATGGGTAATAGTAAATTCATTATGTGTCTAAAAGAATAACAAGCATCTGACTGAAAAAACCTGAATAGAAAATTTTCAGCACTATTCTGCTACAAGACTAGAGAGTGCCCCACCCATCGCATCATCATGTCCTTTCTTCATCACAATTCAAAGCAAAGTCCCCAACTTGAAAATGATTCGTGAGAGTCAGTTGTTTGGAACTTAAAATACATTTCCTCAATAGAAGCATAACACATACAGGAATTAGCACCCCTGGCTAGTCTATGAAAATGTAGTTAATAAAAAACTTCTTGAGATATACCTACAATGGAAAAATTGGAACAAATAACACCATTTGGAGGGGGAGATACTAGTTAAATAACATTTCTGAGGATTGTAGAGGCTAATGATCTTGTTAATAATATTTAATTTCACATCAAGACCTAGGTTTTTCTTTCCTTCTAATATTGAGGGGTCACAGTAGGATCTCCCATAGTTGCAATGGAAAAAATCATTTAACAAACTAGGTGGATTTAGAAATTTGAAGATCCATAGCATTCCATTTTTCTAACTAAAGATACATGTTTTGATTATTTGCTTAAAACAAACTTTTAAAGTATCCCTGAAATATTATAATCTATTTTATAGAAAGAGATTTCCATTAATAATGACAGTTTTATGAAATTATTCTATGTAAAGTTAGTTTTAAAAGATTTACAGTTCTTAACATGAAAACCAGTAGTATTAAAAGTATTTTGTCCAGAGAAATGTGAAACAAAGACCATACCAGTTTTCCACAGAGAATTCCACAAGTTTCTATTCCTCTTACTGTATTGGACTCGGCCAGCAGCAGAAATTTGTGGCAAAGATCTCTTGGTAAGACTACGCATCTCAGTCCTTCAACCACTAAATCTAAGAAACAAGAAAAGCAGAAAAAGCTAAAGCATAAATACTACAGCCCGTCCTTTAAAATTATTTATAGCAAGCAATGTTGTCAAAATAAATTTCAAAAATAAACTTAATGTGTGCCCTACTTTCCATATCTTATTTTAAAACTTTTAATGGTTAACATTGACTTGAAGGAAGATAAAATTACTTTTTGTATATAAATTACTTCATAAACAAGGTGGAAAGGTGCAAGCCCTTTTATATCTTTTATGGCCTGAATCGACTATAAATACATGTGTGTATTTTCTTTGGCATAAGCAAATATACTACTACATGTGTAGGTTGCATAGGATATTTCTCAGGTCATACAAGGCAGGATAAATATTCCTTTTTGGATTTACCATGTGTGGTAGTTTAACTTTGTGTGTCAACTTGGCTTGGCCTGCTTCAGTTACTGGAGAGTTGGATGTAGTATTCCCCACGATGAGACTGGTAATGAACTCCATGGTGGAATCTACTGTGAGCAGCTGCGCAGCTGCCTGAGGGATGTGGTCTGCTTCCTGTGTGTAAGGAGAAGCCTTGGGGAACGGTCACTAGCTTGTGGCATACGTGCTTGAACCCTGCATGTAGCCGTGTCATTGTTCAGCAGCCTGCCATGCTCTGCCAACCTTGGGACTTTCGATAGACTTGAATTAATGGCCTGCTGTGTGGTTGGTAACATCAGGACTGTGCCTTTTTACTTGTCAACCTTGGGCTTGTCAGCCTCAGCAGCCAGCAGCTGAGTGAAGAAAAGCCTCCAGCTTCAGTGGGCTGGGAGCAGGAGGCAGAGCTGGAGCCCAAGGTTGAGGGGCTTTCACCCAGCCCCTAGAGCCTGGCACTTTGAACTCAGACTTAAAGCCTCCACACTGTAAGAGAATAAACTCCTGTTTCTTCAAACCCACCCATTTGTGGTATATTCCTGTCAGAGTGGCACTACGTAACCAGAACACTATGTTCCTTATGTCTTCATGAAAGTGGATGCTCAGTAGGTACAATCACAAAATTTTCAGACATAAATAGCAAGACAAAAACCAACCAAACTCACTGCTGTCAAGTCGGATCCAACTCATAGTGACCTCTCCTTATAAAATCCTCATATATTACAACTCTTTAAAATAAATGGGAACACAAACTCCATCTGAGAGTGTCTGCTGGGATAAAGTCTTCATTTGATTTTGGAAATTTGCCAGCACTGATCTAGCACTACCAGCAGCACTAATTGTTGTGTTGGCAGAAACACATAATCCGTTTGGAGGCTAACTACTTATGTGCATAAGATCCTCCTGGGTCAGAGAGAATGCTAAGTACACTGTGAATAAACATTTCATTCTGGATAAATGACTTTCTCAACATCTTCCTTCCTCTCCAGCATAAGTGTTTATCATTAAGTTATCATGAAATTTTTGGTTAAAATACAAGAAAGAAAAAAATGCTTGGGTTTCTTCTCTTTTTAAATCTCTACCCAATGATGAAACACAGTTCTGTTATTATAGAGTCTCTGCTCTACCAGGGGACAAATTATGTTTCTAAATTTTAATATTACATATACAGGCAGTTCCAGGTTATACACTTACATGCAACCCGAAATTAAGAACCGACCCCTGTAAAGCCCATTATATTAAAAATTCAAAGCACGTACAATGGTCGTAATAACAAATGGGCACTACTTTGTGATGTGCATTAAACATGACTATTATCGTTACCCTATTATGTTAAAGACCTTTTAGTGTATCTGGAAGTGTTTTTTTAATTTTTTTATGCATAGAAAGGTACACTATATACTAAGACAAACATTTGACTAACTGATGTTAGATGCAAACCCTACCTAACTGTTCTGACTTACATAAAAATTTGACTTAAATTAAAGATGGAAATTGTTTGTAATCCAGGGACTGCCTGTAGTAAAAGCCTGAACCTCTGGGGTGCGCAGATGGTTAACCTGTTCAGCTACTGAAAGGCTGGAGGTCTGAGTCCACTCAGACATGCCTTGGAAGAAAAGCGTGGTGATCTACCCCAGAAGAAGCAGCCATTGGAAACCTATGACTTGTACTTCTACCCTGACACACATGGGCTCACCATGAGTCAGGATGGACTGGATGCCGCCTGGTTCCTGGTTAAAGTAAAAGCCAGGCAGTGCTGAACAGCCAGCTCTGTCGTTCACACTACAGCAAACAGGAGTCCTGTCATAATGTATAATGAAATGAGAAGAATCGACCCAGATGCTACAGAAATATGGTGCCATTAGAGGAGCCTCAATATGCTGTTGCGGAGCATTTCATTACTTACTCTGAACAGCACTTAGAGTAGCAGCTGGCTTTAGGGCCCTGTTTACGGGAGGAGAGTGGCTGGTGTAATTGGTTGCATCACTTTTATTAGGTTGCTCCACAAACACATTCAGCAAGGAGTTGTTCTGATGTGTGGAAAAGCAGGACAAAGCACTGCCATCAATCTGCTCGGACAACGCTGGGGCTTCCTGGCTGGACGTCTGACCTCGGGCTAACTCTTGCTTCTTGAGTTGATCTTCGAAAAACAGGAACTGCTCGGATTCCAGCTGCTGCTGGCGCATCTGAGCAATCCGCTTTCTCTCCGCCTCTATCAATCTCTGATGCTCCAGCTTTTTAAGAATTTCTGCTTTATATTTGTTCTACAAAAGGTAGTTGCCAGAAGAAAAGGTTAATTTCCAAAGCAAAAACAGCAAGCTGCTATTAGACACTTTCTCACCTTCTAGCTGAGATACTCAGGAAACGGTGAGGAAAACAGACAACATCAGCCCCAAAGCCCCATAATCTATCTGATTAAGACAGCAGTTCCAAGTCCACTCATATTTTGCCAGAGACAAGCCATGACAATCAAGTGCCCTCCATTCCACTGCACTTGTAAATACTGGGGAATCAAAGTCAGGGCTGTCTGCTCAGACTGACTAGCAACACCGTATGGAACAAAGTATCTCAGAAAGAATTATATCATCCTAGACTGTACTTGCCAATGTAGTGAAAATTAGCCATACATGGCTATTTCTTTAAAATTATATAAAATCAGAAATTCCATGCCTTACTCACATTAGTCACATTTTAAGTACCCAATAGTCATATGTGGCTACCGGCAACCACAGTGGACAGTGGCAAATAGACCATTTCCATCATCATTGAAAGCTCTGTTGGACAGTGCTGCCCTCGAACCTTTTGCATTGGCCTCTGAAACTCACACTGCAGAAGCCATATGGGGAAGAGGCAGATACCCCATAGCATCACTAAGAAATGATTCTCAAAATGTGGCCTGACCATCTCTACCAGAATCAACAGGGATTCTAGTTAAAAATGAAGACTCCCAGGCCTAACATATTATTCAGGGATTAAGTCAGAGATGATAAATTTTTAATAAGCTCCCCAAATGATTTTGATGGAAACTAAATTTCAAAATCAACTCTACGATGGAAGTGCAGTTGGAGAGATTGTTTCTATCAGCACTTTGATGTGCACATGCATTGCCTTAGAGAGCTTTCTGGTTAAAATGCAGATTCTGATCAAACAGGTCTGGGGTGGAGCCTAAGTTACTGTGTTTCTAATTAGCTCCCAAATGATGCTGGTGTTGCCTATAGCAAGAGTTTCCAGGCATCTCTATTCATCTCTGCTAGACATAATGCTGCCACTCTATCCCCACAAGAGATTTAGACATGTCATACACTCAAGATAGCACGGAGGGCTATGCCATAATCAGTATCACCAGAGGCATCATGGCCAAGGGCAGAATGTGGAATAGCCAATGAAGCTGTTCTTCCCATGGACCGTAAAAGGTGTCATTATACACACTGCTGAGCATGGGAGAAACCTTCAAACATGGGCTTTTTTCTCCATTGTTGTTTCGCCTTTGCCTCCGAGACAATTTTTACCTTTCGTATTCCAAATCAAATTGTCCGTATTTGAGGGAAACTTCTGATTCCAACATTCCCTCTGCCACTTGGTTAAAATGCTTCACCCAAACCTATCCTGTGGCCACACCCATAAAAAGTAGAGAAGCTGTGTGATCATTTCCAGAGCTAATGAGTTGAACTGAAATAATAGTGAAGGTGGCAGCCTCCCAAACAAATAATAAACTTAAATATATAAATCCAACCTTCATAAATAATACATAAAATTAAGAAGTATTCATGCTTTCAGCGTGAGTATCCCATAGACTGCATGGCCAATATCTTCTTCCATGCCTCTCTGTCTTGTAGACAGCATTATCACTAGTACAGTTTCTTTAATTAACAACCCAGAAATCATCACCTTTTGGTGTTACAATTACATTTCATCAATGTGGATAGCTATTCTTCTATCCCAATATAATACTGACTGAATTTAAGACTCTAATTCACATTTTCAAGGCCTACATAATTAGATAAGTCAGAAACCATATAATGCTCTCCCTACCTGCTACCATCTATGCTCTTCCGGCAAAGAGCAGTCATCTGGCTCTAGTCTACATTGGCAAGAGTTGAACAAAAGCTCTATTTACATCACTGTAGGAAATCTATTTTCTAATAAACTCTTTTTGAGATGTTGTGGGAAAATGAAAAGACCACGTCTTCACTGCAAGTGCTTAACCTGGATGTCCACATGCATATTTTATTGGTTTCAACATCCCTGCATCTTTAATTTTTAATTTAAATGCATATGACATTTGGAAAGCTCATCATGGGCAAATGAAATTCAAAGAATATTTGCACAGAAAACATTCATGAAACAAATGTACCAAGTGAACTTACTTTGCTTTGTAAATATTCTTGGTATTCTATGTTATATTTCTTTAAAAGGTCCTTTTTCAATTCATCTGTCCTTGGGAATGCAATCTCCTTCAGTTTCTGTTAAAAATATATATACATATTGATTAGTGAGGAGTTTCAGTATACTTGTTCAGATCATCAGCTAAGAAAGAAAAACAGCTGGTATGTGTATTAGAAATCAAGTCACAAGTAACTAAAGGTGGTGGCAGAACAGTAAAGCTCTCTTTTCCAGGTCTCCAAAGTATAACTTTTTGGCAGGGAGGCAAAAATATCCCTTTTATAAACCTGTATTGGCTCCACTGGTTGGATAAGCATTTTCTTTTCTGACCCGACTCATAGCGACCCCTCCTTGGGTTTCTGAGGCAGTATCACTATGGAAGTAGATTGCCCAACCTTCCTTCCGAGGAGTGGCTGGTGGGTTTGAACCGCCAGCCTTCTGGTTAGCAGTCAAGTGCCTTAGGCACTATGCTACCAGAGCTCTCTTTCTTTAGGCAGGCACTCCATTTTCAGATGGTAGGTTTGTAAGTGCCCATTCCTCAGTATGCAGATGCTATAGCAATGGAGCCAGAAGGGACATAGAAGAACATGGTTGGCAGGGATTCCTAGACTAGCAAGACTATATAAAGCAGCCGGAGTACCATTTATAAAAATACAGATTTCCAGATTTACTAAATCAACATCTCTTGGAAGGGGCCTGAGAATATGGATTTTAAACTTTCCAGTAATTCTTAATTACAGTAAAATCTGAAAAACCTGATGTTGTCCAACTATCCCTGTCCCCCCCCTTTTTTTTTAACAATGAGGAAACAAAGGCCAAGAGAGATTAAAAGATGTGTCCAGTGCCATAAAACTATCTAGTGGGCCAGTTAGGACTAGAACCCAAGTCTCAACTTCAGCCAAGGCTTTTCCACTGAAATTTCTGTTCTCTTAGTCCTTTGTCATTTATTCATTTATTCTATCCATTTGTTCAACAAGCACAAGACAAGGGAAATGTGTGTACTTTTGGACATTTTTCTTACAAATGAAAAATAAGAATAACCCTCAATTAGAGTCAGAGTCACCTTGGCAGCCTGGGACCTTTGATTTCCAAGCAGAAAGTCTCTGAAGCTGAATGAACACGAAAATTTAGGGGAAATGCTAAGTAAAAGCATGATGATGAAGGGCACTTCGGATGAGTGAGTAGAAATCAGATAATATAGATGACCATTAGTCAAAATCTGAGTTCTAGTAACAGCCTCAAGCTTACCCAAAGCAGGAGAACTCAGTTATATGGTCAAGTATCTTTCACAAGTTATTGAAAATTCAATGCTGTTATTGGCTTTGTATAATTGTTTTATCTTTTTCCATATAAGATCAACCCAAAGGGAACACATTTTAAGAAAGTTTATTTAGAATGTTTAGCTGTATTCTTATGGTAAGGATATTTGAAATTATATATACAGCAAATGTTGATGATATACAAATATATTTGAACAGTCTTCATTTGCCTTGAGAATAATAAGAGGAAAATTACTAGAACTCTGTGCTGCCTTAATAATCAACACTCATTTTCAAATAGTAATTGAGTTCAGAGTTGTATGGGATCATCCACACCAGCCAAAAGAATGATCTCAAACAACTACAGGGAAATATAAAACTGTACTTAGTCTCGGGGGTGGGGGGGTGGGGATAGTGAAATAATGCCTTCTTCGTGTGATTGAGCCAATTTTTGGCCTTTTTCATTTCTTTTTTTCCCCAGTTTTGATTAGACATCCCACAGTGGTTTAGTAATGATGATTTAATGTCTAAGAAGAAATCGAAACATTGTTGCTAATGGAATGGCTTTCTGTGCTTAAACTCTCAGGAGGATGAGCTGGAGGAGGAAAGGAAGAGGCAATGGATCAATAATGGATACTTGTGGCGCATTTGATCCCACAGGGGAGAATTAATCCCTGGTACCTTCATAATGTCCTGCTTCTCGGGTACTGCACATTGCTGGTAATCTCGATGGCTCGGAAGTTTTTCTACAAACAAGCTACAGAGAAACAAAAACACAGCAGTAGCATCACAGGACAAAAAGCCCAATAATGGTTTCTAATATAAACCATTATATTTTCTCAAAAACCAAACCTGCTACCGTCTAGTTGATTCTGACTCATAGTGAGTATATAGGACAGAGTAGCTGAATGCTTTAATCACTACCCCACCAGAGCTCCTTAAAAATGTTATTATTTAACTTGATTTCTTCCCATCAGCCTTTTAGTAAGGATCAGCAAGAGCATTATTTTTGCATTAAAGAACACCAAACCCAATGCCATGGAGTCTACTTTGACTCACGGAGATCTATGTGTTACAGAGGAGACCTGCTCCGTAGAGTTTTATTGACTATGATCTTTATGAAAGCAGACCACCAGGACTTTACTCCATTGCACTTCTGGTTGGGTTCAAACCACCAAGCTTTAGGTTCATAGTTGAGCACAAATCATTTGTGCTCCTTAGAGACCTTGTTTTGACATTACAGGGTAATTCCAGCAAATTAAGAACTGATGTGAACTGGAATTAGTATCAGGGGTACTGCTAAATAGAACAATTCCTCTTGGTCTTTCTCAGGTCTGGCGCTACTCCCTGTACCCCACTACGGTACCATCATACTTATGTGTGTCATTGGCCAGGGAGTTTGTATAAAATGCAACAGCTTGAAGAGATCAGTGTAACCTCTTCTCACCATTGAAAAAGGACTCAAAGGACTGCTGATGAATCAGTAGTGTCTTTGTGTATAACAAACACTTTAACTGAAAATTCATAACTAAGACAAATGACAACCAGAATCCCTAGTGGATCAAAAGGTGCTGATTGCCAGTGCTGGGGAGTTAATTATTTTTTTATTGCCTTGTTGAGAAATAAGGGGCAGCAGGACTGAAGGGAAGTCGCTACAGGAAATCTGGTACATCACTTCCAGATAAAGGAAACCTGGTCTTTTTTTTTTTTTTTCCCACTGGTGTATCTTCATCCCATAGAGTAGTGCTCAGCTCATAATAAGTGTTCAGGAAATATTGTCACATGGTTGTCTTGATGTAACAACTTTCACTCAATATTTTGAAAGCATTTTTGTACACAGCATTCTCACACAGCCAAATAAACTTTTTTTTTTCCCATTACTGCGTGACTTTGGATGGTGCAAATGGTTAATGTGCTCAAAAGGCTGGAGGTTTGAGTCCATACAGGGGCATTGCAAAATAAAGGCCTGGAGACCTACTTTTGAAAAATCAGCTTTGAAAATCTTAGGGTGCACACTTCACTCCAAAACACACAAGGTTGCCATAAGTCAGAGATGACTCAATGACAATTGTTTTTTGTTTTTATTTTGTTATTTGAAACTGACTTTTGAACCCTAATCCTAAACCATGTCCTTTCTGTGACCCCCCAGTTGTCCCTCAGTCTCATCCCATCAATTCAGAACTTTAAAATGTTGATTGCATATGCCAGGTGCCGGAAACAGAGCTGCAATCTGGCTGCTGCTCTCATGAAGCTTACATTTCAGTGAGAGGAGAAAAGCCTTCAACAAGAAATGATTTTGTGAAGAATATGATGGAAAGAGGCAAAGAGGTTATCGTGACAGCCCTCCCCCCACCAGAGGGAATCTGATGTCCCTAAGCCTCATCCCATCCCTGACTTCATTGGATCCCTGAACTTCAGAGAACATTGGGGGATGGCTTTGAACACATCACTTGGTATTCTAAAGACCTGACATTTTATGCTTTTGAAGATTGCAAAATTGATCTGAATGTCAAAATTTTTCCGGCAAGCAGCCCCATCAAAATATCATGCAAATATTGTTCCAATGTTCTCATTTCAAAACAAAAGACTTACGTTATAAACTTATTATAAAGAACGAAGGCATTTTCCAAATTCCCTTCTTCCAAATACACAGAGGCCATTCTCTCCATTTCTACTCCAGATCTAAAGTAGCGGCGTGGGGCGATATCTTCGTTGACTGTGATATTACAACCAAGCTTGCTTAGGGCGCGGACTCGCTCTTCGGGGCTAAGGGAAATGTCTGTATGGTCAGGCATAGCAGCCAACTTTTTCTGCAAAGCAACATTTGGATCTCTGATTATAATAAGAAAAGACGAAGGTTGAAATTATGGATGTATTTCCTGTATTTGACACCAATAGTTAAGGGAATCTTTGCCTATGAGTTAATGATAGGATAAGAGTGAAGTTTTTTTTTTGTTGTTGTTGTTAAAGACCAAAAACATGGTCTACACAACAAAAAGACACACATTATCCTTTTGTGTCTTAAGGAGGTAGGTTTTTGTTTCAGAGTACAATTATGTGGCAGTTCCTGGGTATGCAAATGTTTTAGGTCATTTTAGGTAAATAATAAATAGTAGTCACACTGATATTTTACGCTTTTAGAGATTGTAAAATTACTTCTTGAGAAAATAATAAAAAGCTACTCAGAAAAAGTCAGCAGTATCATTAATAAATTTGTATTTTATTAATTAAAACAGCATCTATACACATTTAGGAAAGCATAAAACATATACATTCAGGATAATACTCAATTTTCAATAAAACACCATTGCTTTTGATCAGAGGTCTGCAATTTTTTTCTTCTGTGAAGGGCCAGATAGTAAATATTTCAGGCTTTGTGGGACATACGGTCTCTGTCACATCTACTCAGCTTTGCTAGTGTGAAAGCAGCCATGAACATTATGCAAAGGAATGAGCATGACTGTATTCCTAAAAAGACATTTTATTTACAGAAACAGACAGGTGATCTGGCCCTCGGCTAGAGTTTGCTGACTTTAAACCAGCGCATCTCAAAATGTGGTCCATGCATCTGCAGCATCTGCATCACCTGGGCATTTTCTTCAAATGCAAATTTCTAACAGGCCCCCCTGTTTCAGAGTCAGAATCTCTGGTGGTTGGCCCAGGAATCTGTGTGTTAACTAGTGCTCCTGGAGATAATCATGCATACTAAAGTTTGAGAAGCACTGCTTTAGGCTATCATCATTTGAGGAGTCCATGTGTGGTACAAACAATTAAGCACTGGGCTGCTAGCTGGAAGGTCAGCAGTTAGAATCCCCCTAGAAGCACCCAGCAAGACAAGCTTGCTGGCCTGCTTCCGAAAGGTCACAGCCTTGTAAACCCTATGGAGCAAATCTACTCTGCATACAAGGGGTTGCCATGAGTTGGAATAGACTCAACAGCAAATAACAACAGTCATCATTGACACTCCAAGAATGAAGTTAGACCAGAGCTAATTTTGCTTCCAAAGTCCTGCTCTGTCAGTTAAAGGTATGATGCAAGTCTGACTACCATGTGAACAGATCACTTGAATAAGGTCTGTAGAAAACCATAAAAAAAATCTAGGTAGAGATCGTTAATCTGGCCACAAGTTACTGAGCCAACCTCAGTAACCAACCTTTACTCTAATGACATCTGGTCTACTTTGATGGAACTTTCATAGCAGATAAAAAAAAATAATAATAGTAATAACAAATAACCAAACTCACTGCCATCTAGTTGATTCGACTCATAGTGACCCCTCCTTGGGTTTCCAAGGCAGTATCTCTATGTAAGCAGATTACCCAATCTTCCTCCCGAGGAGTGGCTGATGGGTTTGAGCTGCCAGCCTTATGGTTAGCAGTCAAATGCCTTAGGTACTATGCCACCAGAGTTCCAATCAGATAAAGAAACCTGAATTGACTGTTACTCCTGAAGGCTTAATGTATAACCAAGGAGCAATAAACTTATTTCTCAATACTTCATAAATCAGAAGCAGGCCATGCCTCTTACACTTTCTTTTTCCCTTTGATCTGGCCTTGAGCTAAATAGGTGAGTCCTCATCCCATTTCTTCCTCCATGAGGAAGATCATAGCACCTGAGCTTTCTTTCCCTGAAGGTCTCCTCCAGCTATTTCCCTTGCGACTGCATGGGTGGACCAGTTGCGCCAGTTCAATGTGGAAATGAAGAAATAAGAACTGTCAGTCTCCCATATTCTGTAGGCCCAAATGACCAGGGACAAAGTCCACACTCTATTTTGATCATTACTTGGCCATCTGCTTCTGTAGAAATTACAGCTAAATAAACTCTATGGAGCATTTCTACTCTGTAGTTTGCCATGAGTTGAAATTGACTTGATGGCAATGAGTTTGACTCTTTGTTTGTGGGAGTTTTTTTTTTTTTGCAGGGGGGTTGGAGTCTTATATCTTTCTCAATTTCTCAGTTGATCTAGAATTCTGAGAGCAGAGAGGTGTGACTGGCAATAACATCAACACTCAGGACCTTCCTAAGATACTTCATCTCAAATTACAGCACATTTTTTTCTTTTCCTCTTCAAACCTTATTTTACTGTTCTTCTAATCCTCTGAAAGTCTTTCCAATTTCAGAAAAGCTATTGGAGATTGCTCCATGTCAGAGACAAGAACTGGAGCTTGTGAACTCTGACCCTCAGACCTGAGTATATGAGGTCTTTTCCAACTAAGACGTCTCAGACACCACAGCAATACATCCACATTTCCTAATCACATGCACTTTATAAAACTCAGTAGTCCTAAATGAAAATTTTGGTATTTAATCGCAGATTGACATATGAAAATAGTTGGAAAAAAATCTATGGAAATTAGGGAATTCTCTAAAGGAGGGTCCAGCATTCTGTACATACAAAATGTAATTTGTGATACTACATGTGGTTTCCATGAGCTGAAATCAACTCTGTGGCAACTAACAACAACTACTACTACTACTACTAATTATTATTATTATACTGCCCCCAATGAATTATAATTATCTGTCTACACGTGTTTCCTATCCCTTATGAACTTCTCAGAAAGGAATAATTTCCTATTCATCTCTGTTCTGTGGGATGTAACATATTCCCTGCAACACAAATGATAACCGAAAAACATGTATCAAATAGATGAAAGACAGAATTGAGGAAGAGAAAAAGGGAGAAATATGACTATAATTATCTTTTTTATCTAATGATTAAATAAGGTTTTCTTTAGTGAATGGTCCAAATTTGAAAATGATTTCAGAGATAAACTTGGAAACAAGCTAAAGTCTTGATGAATGTCTCTTTCTCTCTTATGCATGTGTGCATACATAGAGATAAGCTCTCATATATATATATATATATATA